TTAGCATGGGCAGTCAATGCTAAAAATTGTCTTCAGATGACGGAATATTAACCCGTATATGGACTGAATCCTAAACGGCTACGTACCAACACTAGAAGGTACAATCTTCTTGAAATTGCTGCGAAACATATCAGTGTTAGCCATTCCTTAAGAAAAGCCTTAATTGCTGCTGCAACCTCTGAGAGAATATGATGTGCTCGAAGACAAAGTAAGAACACTGGCAAGAGTTAGTTTTAAGAGAAGAGTAAAAGGAATGAAAAGGACCAGCTACAGTCGTTGGTCAGGATGGAAAAACTGATTTTGAAATATGATTCAAGTAGTGTAAGAGCCCATGAAACGCATATTCAACAAGTTCCATACAATTTTGAAAGAAATACTGAAGGAAGAAATACATTACTTGATATAGTGAGGCAGAAAAGAGAAAAGGAAAAAGGAGGTTAGGGGAGAGAAGAATGAGATCGTAGTTAATAGTAGTTTTCATGGGAAATAATGTAAAAAAAAATAAAATTGTAATTAAACAAAAGAGGACATTGTCAAGAGTATCCCGAATATTGGACAAAGAGTAAAGTTCTTACCAAGAGAGTCAAAGGAATGGCAGACAGTAACCATGCATAGTCGTGCTGAAAAATCTGCAGGAACATATAGAAGTTGGTGGAATTTTGACCGTCAAGATGGATGCATGTCCGTCATGGTTTCTGAAAATGCTAAAACTCAGGAACTTGGAAAAAGCAAAACAAGAAGCAGGAAAAGTTATGGTGTATACGAAGAAATTCCAAACATGGACCAAAAGGCATTGTCAGTTCGATGGGTAGTGACAAGAAGGGAAAACTGTGATAAGAAAAAGAGAAAAGCACGGTTGGTTGCCAGAGGCTTTGAGGAAAAGGAGGCTTTTCAGATTCTCCTACTGTTAGCAAGGAAGTATTGTAGGCTTGTGTTGCTTTACTGCCTTCTTAAAAGTGGGCAGTAAATTCAGTTGACATTAAGGCTGCATTCCCACGGAGTGAGAGGTTTGAGTGTTCCCCTTATTGAAGCAGGATGTGATGATAGGGTGTTATGGAAATTGAAAAAAAATATGTATATGGTCTTATTGATGCAGTTAGGAAGTGGTATCTCACAGTGAAAACTTTCCTGTTGAAGACGGGATGTAATAAGGTGAAAACTGACCCTGCTGTTTTCTTTCATCATCAGGAGACCGAAGGAAACTGATGTAGCATGTTTTTATTGTATGTGGATGATTTCTTGTGGGGAGGAACAGAAATATTGGGAAACGTGGTCAGTACCCAAATCAGAAATAATTTTCAGGCTAGAGAGCAAATTAATACTACTATCAGATATATTGAATTACATATTGTACAGATTGAACAAGACGTTACTCTGCATCAAAAAGAGTACTGTAAATCCTTAGAATCCATAAGTATAACTGCTGTAAGAGGATTAAATAAGAACATAGTGCAACTTAGAAGGAAAGGTGAGTTTTAGGGGAGTCTCTTAAGCCAATTAGGATGGCTATGTACTAATTCAAAACCTGACTTAAATTACAGTGTATTGGGACTTGGCTGTAAAGTAAATAATGCCAAAGTAGGAGTTTTCCTTAATGTTCCTCTTAACTGCCTCAGACACACTACTCGCCATTCCATCCGATCACCCTACGCCCTTTCCTCTGTTACTAATCTCCGCCTAACTTCATTTGCTCCCCCCCCCCTCTTTACTATCCTTTACCATACTATCCTATAACCTTTGACATCTAATACATTTTATCCTAATCTTTGACTTATTTTTTACCCTCCCCCCCCCCCCAATGCTTTACCATACTGCCATACGACCTTTGATGTCTAGCACATTTCTAGGTTTTAACCTTTTGGCCATTAACCATCAATCCCAAAGTAGATCTGAGTGAGGCAAATAAGTATTTAACGAAAGCTCGTACTTTTGAGAGCTCTGCGTACTTTCCAGGACTTGGTGACATTTGTAAGCACAAGTTGGTTGTATACAGTGATGCCTCCTGTGCTAATGTTCCTGATGGATTTAGTAGTGCTGGGGGCTTTGTGATTTTTGTGATTGTGGGTGGAAATGGCAACAGTTGTCCTCTGTACTGGGAGGCAAGGAAAATGAGAGCTGTGAAAAGCACTCTTTCTGCAGAATCACTTACAGCTCTTGAGGCAGTGGATATGGTCTATTATCTCAGAAATATGTCTTGATTATTGTATGATTGATATAAAATTACTTGTGGAACCTTTCACTTTATGATGTATACTCGGTGAAAAAGGTTTCAGAAAAGATAGAACATTGACATAGCTGTTTTCAATGTTTCAATGTACAGTTAAAGATATTCTGGGTAGATTTTAATGCATAGTTATCAGATGTGCTGACAAAAAAATTGAAAATAGTCTTTGAAATGATAAAGTTAATCTAAGTTTTGATTTTGAAGGATAATTTTTTTTTTTCATCCATACAGTGTATAATATTGTTTTGTAACAAAGCCTTCCCTTTTGAAGAGACTATTAATTTCTTTGAAAGTCATTTGATAAATATGTTTGTGTTCGCATCCATGTGATGTGCTGTATTGTGTTGTAACTTTGAAAGCATTTCCTTTTGATTGAAAGAGGAGTAGGTGAATTACATTTGTGTTATTGCGCTTTGCGAACGCTTTGCGAACATCACGAGTTTTTGGTAAAGATCGCGGTGTACGTGTACAGTTATGGATAACTTCGACACTATTAAAGCAAAATATCGTACATAGGCATTTGATTTACCTTAGTACATTGACCCATAATCCCAACATAATTGTCTAGCCCATACCCCTCAAGGGGACCCTGAGGAGGGGGGGGGGACCTTTTATCCTCCCCACATTTTCAGGTATACCCTGGCCAGTAATGAAGATGATGTACCCGTATTAGGGGCATTGAGGCTTGCCCCTGTATCAACTAGCCTCTCTGAATCAAACTCCTCTGGTTTACCGACTTTGCTGTTCTACTCTCCTACTTTTAAGTCCAGCTACCCCCCCCCCCCTCCCCTGGTGGTTTGATAGAGCAGACTGGCATACTTTACTATCTCTACTCTTCCTCCTTCTGCATTTGATTTGATATTTCAGTCAAAGTCCTCAGTGCTGCCTTTCCCCAGACTTCCCTCTCTAAACTTACCGTCTCTCAATCCCTTCCCACCTTTACTCTCTCTCCAAGCTTACCTACTCCTTTGTACATTCCTCCCGTATCTGCTCCTCTGCTTTCCATGATTTACCAAAATGTCTTCCCTCTGTTCCTCATCCTTCACAGTTTTCACAGACTCCAAGAACTCGTTACCTCTTTATACAGTCTCTATAGCCAGTCAACCTTCTCGTCCGCAAGATACAAGACCAACTATTCTATCTATCCACGCGACACAAACCCGTCAGTTTTTGCCAGATACCCAACCATATTGGGATCATCGGCAATGAAAAGGAAGATACATTAGCACATCCGCCGCCTAGTCCACATCCCATCAACCCAGATTTTCACATATACCAGCCTCCGACTCCTACCCTCACTTCTAAACGTTCCTCTTCACCCGATGACAGTCTTTCTGATCTTACTTTACCACCAATAAACTACATGCCATAAAACCTTCCATCAGAACAGATGCTGGGAAACTGCTCTTGCCCAATTACGCATTTGGCACACTTGTCTCGCACATTCCTATCTAACGTCACACCTGATCCACCTCTGTGCTTCTCAAACCCATGTTCCTCTTTCAGTCCCACACATCCTACCATCCTATCCCCGCTTTACAAGCAATCCGTACCTCTGCTTTTTCTCACCTGTTCTCACTTCCCCCGACTCCCCCAACCTGACGGACGTCCTCTCGGAATCCCCCTACCTTTTCCTTTGAAAACTTGTTCCCTTTCCACAGACGCATAATTATCTCCCATTTGATCTAATCGCCCTCATTCATTAATTCTCCCTTTTAACAACTCTTACCTTATGCTAATACCCAATTTGCTCCCCCTCTGTACTAGCCCTCTGCAATACCATACGACCCTCTAGTATTGTTCAACCTCTAACTTCTCACACACCTATCAGAGTTATTCTTAACCCTTTTCGCCATTATACTTTACCTTAGTGCTACAAGACCTTGATGTTCAGCACATTTACGTTTTAGCCATTAACCATTAATTATGTTGTGACCCATTTCGTTTTTGCTCAAATGAATCTGTATTAGCCCCACCTTCTGCTCGCTAAGTTAGGTTAGAGTTTGGGAAACATTCATACATCCTTGCCAAAGGTATAGTAAACTCGTGGGATTCTTGTTAATAGCGGTTACATGTTTAGTGCTTTCAATTTAATGCATGAATTCCGAGGCCGCTTTGCATTCTTGTCTGTCGTACTGGATTTTTTAAATACTACGTATCTTTCATAATTATGTGGTCGAAATGGGTCATGTGCATCTTTTAGTAATGCAAAGTCAAAGGATATTGATACTATTTATCAAAATACCACTGTCTTGTAAACAAAGGTTAACCTTGCATTAAAAACATATTGAAGTGGTTTTCATACACCGGCAGTCATAGTGGCACCCACAGATATGATAAAGTGAAAAAATAACAACAAAGGTGATAAAGCCACCATTATTACTGTTATGAACAATCCTCAGCAAAATATAAATGTCAAGTATAAATTCCAAGAATCCAAATGTCCATCGCATTACAGATTATAATGATACAAATGAAACAAAAGTTTGCACTGACGAATGACTTCCATCAGCCTTGCCATTACTGCTGTTACCGTTGCAATATCTGAAGCTGCATTGGTTTTTATGATCAAGTTAATCAGCATCAAGCAACCTTTATGATCTCTTTCCACAATTTCCTTCCACTGCCATCTGTTTACCATATTGTTCACCCATCTGTACATATCTTCTAATACCACTCAACACTACAATATATCCTACAAAAGTAACTGCAGGATTTTCCAATATCAATGTTCTAATCTAAGGTCAGGTATAGGTATAAAGAAAACCAATCGACATACAGGTTTTAGATTTATTTCAAGTCCCTATTTTCAGGGTCTTCTGCCTATCTATAATGACACTGAAAAATGTATCAAAATAGGGTGGTACCCAGGCAGGCAACTCAAACACCGAACAGTCCATGTACATACAGTGCCCTCATCTCATTAGCATATCACCTGAGGCTTTTTAATATTACATCTCGTAGAGAATATACAATAATTCATTTATTAATCCATCCCTTTTTTTTCTGAAACAACCTAATGAGAACATTATCAAACTTAAAAAAAAAAAAGGATGAAAAATGGAAAAAAAAAAAAAAAAAAAAACTTATCCATCGACAGAGACAAAAATAAAATACTGGAAAACAATATCACAATGACCATAACACAAATCAAAATAATAACAACAATAACAAACGATAAACATACGATGAGCACTTTCTTTCTCCACTGTGATGAATCTCTCCATTCCTTTGACGAGCCATATATATATACTTTTTTTTCTTTTCCTTGATTTCTCTCCACTTAATTTTTTCTTTCTTTCTTTTTTTTTTTCTCTTTACTCGAGTTTTCTGTACAAACCGACAAAGCTTCGGAATCGATTGATAACGTTCCGTAGAGTCTATTCAGGTTCCCAACTATGAATGAGATGAAGAGGTGGTCCATCCAATGCAATGAATGACAAGATTACAAATTGTTCATATTGGGGGAAGATTCAAGAACCCTGACAGGGAGCAGCGTAAAGTGGCGTGGTGCGACGTGGTGTATAAGTACATAATTTTTTCCACAACAACAACAACAACAACAACAACGAATAAGAAAAAAAAAATAAAAATGAATATAAAATAAAATAAAACTGATGATATCCTGAAGTCGCTGTTGATAAACGAATTGGATACAATTATGTTCAACTGAAGCGCAAAAAAGCTCTCGCAAATGAAATATATATATATAAAAGAAGAAAAGAAAAAGAAAAAGAAAAAAAAAAAAGAAATAATCATCTCCCCTTTGTGACTAGCTGTACCAGAACTATGCAACAACCAAACCTTCAAAGTTTTTTTTTTTTTTAATCTTTTTAATCTCTTTTATTCTTCTATTAACTGTACTTTTTTTTTTTTTTTTCAACAGCCGGAATAGAACAAGACGGTAATATGCCTGGCAAATGTGGGTCTGCAAGTGAGTCCACTGACCCTCCTTGACTCGGCCCACTGGAGGGTCTGTCGAAGCCCTTTTCACTTGGAAAAAAAAAAAAAAAGGTTGAAATGATTTAAAAAAGTGAAGGGCTCACTTACCCCCCTCCCCCCAATACCCTCCCCCAGTCCCCTTTGCTGATGTACTTTTCGCTGAAATGAAGTTCTCGTATATACATACTTGAATATTGCTCACTAAAAATATAGTGAGAGCTGAAATTATAATCATGACAAAAATAAGAATGATGATCATGATAACATTACAATGGCATATGACAAGGCGGCAAATGGGGCAATTTCCATCTGCTTAAAAAGAAGAAGAAAAAAAAAAAAAAAAAAAAAAAAAAAAAAAAAAAAAAAAAAAAAAAAAAAAAAATCTCCATTAATTGAAAACAAAATGAACTGAAATACAGGTAAGAACACAGTATATACGTATATAAAAAGACAAGTTACCATTTAAACAAAAAAAAGATCATTTCACTACTCGATAAATGCATTACCTGATGAGTGAGACGCACCATCACCCAGCCAGGACTCCAACCCCCTAGACACACGCACACAGTGGTGGTCGACGATGCTCTGGGGAAGGAGCTGCCCGTGGCTTGCGTTTCGCACTTACGAGAGGGTGGGTAGAGGGGGGTACGGGTTCATGGGTGGGGCGGGCCGTGTCTTCCGTCGAAACACTTGCATATGTGGTTTTTATATATATGTAGAACCCTTCTAAAACGGATTAAAAGCCATTGACGAGTGAAGCCTGGGCGAACCGCCGGACGTGAAAGTGGCGGAGCGTCCGCGTAAAGTGAACCACCTGTCGCGGTTCCTCCCTCCGGCGTGAACAAAAGGGTGTTGCTGTTGGCTCCCTTCCCTCCCGACCCTCTGGCCCCTGGACGGCCGCTCGCTGACTATTAAGACGTTAACTACGGCGACGCGACAGTCATCCCTTCTCTCCTATTGCCGGAAATGTATTGCCTATCTTGACAGCATGTTCAGGCCAGCTTTTTAATATATATGTACAAAATGAATGCATCTTTTTATACCCATTAAAATGCCAGTAATACATATTGCGTGTGAACGAAACTTGGGTATGTATGTGGCTATCTCATTACAGTAAGCGTAAATCCAAAATACTGCAGCCAAATACCCTGAACTCACACGGCGTACCCATGGCACATCAACGCTGAATTCCTCGCTTTCTCAACCCACAGCCAATTTCTTCCGAGTCAAAAACCGCTTGAGCACGGCGCGACAAGAAGCCCAACTCCAGTTCCATGAGTATTTTTTTTTCCCCCCCCACCCTGAAGGTATTTTCTTTTCTTTTTTCTAAGGTT